TATTGGGTAGACGTGACATCTTTCTTCCTTTGACAGCCTAATACACACCGTTGCACACTCAGCTTCTACAGGGTAGATGGCACGCTGTGCTATGTTGCACAATTTGTAGTTGCTGGTTTTTATGCAATGGAGCGCACAGCGGCTATGCGCAGCTTAAATTGGAAGATAACAAAAAAAGAAAGAAAAAACACAAAATAGAGGGAAAATAAAAAAAAAATTAATTACGTGCCTCCGCGTGGACTTTTAGTCGCTTCTTCCACTTGCTCTCGCCGGCTCGCGTTACTCTTTGTTTTTCATGAGGTCAAGGGTTACACACTCACACTCGCACTGACAGTCACACACACATACACATAGTCAATTTGTTGTTGTGTGTTTTTGTTGTTCTCCTTTCTGTATATATTTGTTTACGTACTTGAGCCGCCATGAAACAGGCTTTAACAATAGCGCCATTGTTTGCCCAAAGACCCCGCTGGACTATGGCACTTATGTATAGATGTGTGTGTGTGTGTGTGTATGTGTTTGCACTCATGTGTATGTATGTGTGTGTGTGTGAAGGACCTTAGGCTAGGCAATTTACTATTGAAAATTGTAAATTATGCAGGCAGCGCTTGGCAAATGATGGCCAAAACAAGTGCCATCAGTTTCATCTTGAAATCAACTTTAAATATACATACGTGCACACACACGCACACATACATACATATGTATATTTATAAAATGGCAATCGCATAAGTGAGCGAGTCTCCCCACCCATGCATCGGGCTCAACAGACGGCGCCAACTACCCAACACCAACTAACATAAAACTAATCATAAGCCCTGCCGCAGTAACACAATGGCTGCCGTCCAACCACAATGCGGCATCAGCTCCAGCTGTCAGCACTACAGCAACAACAGCAACAATAGCAATAGCAACAATGGCAACAACTTTAACTTTTATAACAGCGATAAGAAGGGTGGCTGCAGCTCCTGGTCCTACTTCCTACTGCAGAAGCTGCTCCTGCTGCTGCTCCTGCTCATGCTCCCACTGCTGTTGCTGTTGTTTTTCTCTAATCGTTAGCGCTTATGCTTCTGCTGCTGCTGCTGCTGCTTCTCCTCTTGTACATATATATAAACAAAAGTTTTTAATACTCTTGCCATGGGTATTATCATTTAGTGGCTGGCTGCACAGAATCCGCTTGTTCCTAGAGCTGAGTTTCGAATTAATTTTTATTAATATTATTAGCATATTAAAATATAGTACATGGCGAATCGGCAAATCCGTCATCGGGGTCTTTGCAGGAACTGAGACTTAGCAGTTTTCCCGTTCTGCAAGAATTATTCGGCATGGACGAAATGTCTGTCATCGACTTCAATAGACTGAATATCAATTCCACTTCTCAAAATACATAATATGCAATAAGAATTTGTTTTTTCTTAACAATACTCTTAAAATTCAGTTTTATA